TTAATGTATTTTTGTTATGTGAGAATACTTTTGTTTTACGTGTGTTAATGTATTTTTGTTATGTGAGAATACTTTTGTTTTACGTGTGTTAATGTATTTTTGTTATGTGAGAATACTTTTGTTTTACGTGTGTTAATGTATTTTTGTTATGTGAGAATACTTTTGTTTTACGTGTGTTAATGTATTTTTGTTATGTGAGAATACTTTTGTTTTACGTGTGTTAATGTATTTTTGTTATGTGAGAATACTTTTGTTTTACGTGTGTTAATGTATTTTTGTTATGTGAGAATACTTTTGTTTTACGTGTGTTAATGTATTTTTGTTATGTGAGAATACTTTTGTTTTACGTGTGTTAATGTATTTTTGTTATGTGAGAATACTTTTGTTTTACGTGTGTTAATGTATTTTTGTCATGTGAGAATACTTTTGTTTTACGTGTGTTAATCTATTTTTGTTTTAAGTGTGTTAATGTATTTTTGTTATGTGAGAATACTTTTTTTTTAAGTGTTAATGTATTTTTGTCATTTGAGAATACTTGTGTTTTACGTATGTTAATGTATTTTTGTCACATGAGAATACTTTTGTTTTACGTGTGTTAATGTATTTTTGTCACGTGAGAATACTTGTGTTTTACGTGTGTTAATGTATTTTTGTCATGTGAGAATACTTGTGTTTTACGTGTGTTAATGTATTTTTGTCACGTGAGAATACTTTTGTTTTAAGTGTGTTAATGTATTTTTGTCATGTGTGAATACTTTTGTTTTACGTGTGTTAATGTATTTTTGTCATGTAAGAATACTTTTGTTTTACGTGTGTTAATGTATTTTTGTTATGTGAGAATACTTTTGTTTTAAGTGTATTAATGTATTTTTGTCATGTGAGAATACTTTTGTTTTACGTGTGTTAATGTATTTTTGTCATGTGAGAATACTTTTGTTTTACGTGTGTTAATGTATTTTTGTTATGTGAGAATACTTTTGTTTTACGTGTGTTAATGTATTTTTGTTATGTGAGAATACTTTTGTTTTACGTGTGTTAATGTATTTTTGTTATGTGAGAATACTTTTGTTTTACGTGTGTTAATGTATTTTTGTTATGTGAGAATACTTTTGTTTTACGTGTGTTAATGTATTTTTGTTATGTGAGAATACTTTTGTTTTACGTGTGTTAATGTATTTTTGTTATGTGAGAATACTTTTGTTTTACGTGTGTTAATGTATTTTTGTTATGTGAGAATACTTTTTTTTAAGTGTTAATGTATTTTTGTCATTTGAGAATACTTGTGTTTTACGTGTGTTAATGTATTTTTGTCACGTGAGAATACTTTTGTTTTACGTGTGTTAATGTATTTTTGTCATGTGAGAATACTTGTGTTTTACGTGTGTTAATGTATTTTTGTCATGTGAGAATACTTGTGTTTTACGTGTGTTAATGTATTTTTGTTATGTGAGAATACTTTTGTTTTACGTGTGTTAATGTATTTTTGTTATGTGAGAATACTTTTGTTTTACGTGTGTTAATGTATTTTTGTTATGTGAGAATACTTTTGTTTTACGTGTGTTAATGTATTTTTGTTATGTGAGAATACTTTTGTTTTACGTGTGTTAATGTATTTTTGTTATGTGAGAATACTTTTGTTTTACGTGTGTTAATGTATTTTTGTTATGTGAGAATACTTTTGTTTTACGTGTGTTAATGTATTTTTGTTATGTGAGAATACTTTTGTTTTACGTGTGTTAATGTATTTTTGTTATGTGAGAATACTTTTGTTTTACGTGTGTTAATGTATTTTTGTTATGTGAGAATACTTTTGTTTTACGTGTGTTAATGTATTTTTGTTATGTGAGAATACTTTTGTTTTACGTGTGTTAATGTATTTTTGTCATGTAAGAATACTTTTGTTTTACGTGTGTTAATCTATTTTTGTTTTAAGTGTGTTAATGTATTTTTGTTATGTGAGAATACTTTTTTTTTAAGTGTTAATGTATTTTTGTCATTTGAGAATACTTGTGTTTTACGTATGTTAATGTATTTTTGTCACATGAGAATACTTTTGTTTTACGTGTGTTAATGTATTTTTGTCATGTGAGAATACTTGTGTTTTACGTGTGTTAATGTATTTTTGTCATGTGAGAATACTTGTGTTTTACGTGTGTTAATGTATTTTTGTCACGTGAGAATACTTTTGTTTTAAGTGTGTTAATGTATTTTTGTCATGTGTGAATACTTTTGTTTTACGTGTGTTAATGTATTTTTGTCATGTAAGAATACTTTTGTTTTACGTGTGTTAATGTATTTTTGTTATGTGAGAATACTTTTGTTTTAAGTGTATTAATGTATTTTTGTCATGTGAGAATACTTTTGTTTTACGTGTGTTAATGTATTTTTGTCATGTGAGAATACTTTTGTTTTACGTGTGTTAATGTATTTTTGTTATGTGAGAATACTTTTGTTTTACGTGTGTTAATGTATTTTTGTTATGTGAGAATACTTTTGTTTTACGTGTGTTAATGTATTTTTGTTATGTGAGAATACTTTTGTTTTACGTGTGTTAATGTATTTTTGTTATGTGAGAATACTTTTGTTTTACGTGTGTTAATGTATTTTTGTTATGTGAGAATACTTTTGTTTTACGTGTGTTAATGTATTTTTGTTATGTGAGAATACTTTTGTTTTACGTGTGTTAATGTATTTTTGTTATGTGAGAATACTTTTTTTTAAGTGTTAATGTATTTTTGTCATTTGAGAATACTTGTGTTTTACGTGTGTTAATGTATTTTTGTCACGTGAGAATACTTTTGTTTTACGTGTGTTAATGTATTTTTGTCATGTGAGAATACTTGTGTTTTACGTGTGTTAATGTATTTTTGTCATGTGAGAATACTTGTGTTTTACGTGTGTTAATGTATTTTTGTCATGTGAGAATACTTTTGTTTTAAGTGTGTTAATGTATTTTTGTTTTGTGAGAATACTTTTGTTTGCGCAATTTCCATACTGACAATTGCGATTATTAATTCGTTCTGGATGGATGTGTGTCCGATGTGTGTCCGCAGCTTTAAGTCGTATCTCCTCCTCAACGAAGCAATATCGAGGACTAGTTCCAAAGCAATTATGTTAAGCAAGTTCCGAGGATGATTGTGGGCCAAAAAAATTCCCGGAATTCCTTCCTGGATTTCCCGGAAAAGCCAAAAAAAAACCCGAAAAAATGCAGTTTTTGGCCCATATCTCGGCAACCAGACCACTTAGCGACTTGAAACATTTTTTTAAGTGTGTTAATGTATTTTTGTTTTAAGTGTGTTAATGTATTTTTGTCATGTGAGAATACTTTTGTTTTACGTGTGTTAATGTATTTTTGTCATGTGAGAATACTTTTGTTTTACGTGTGTTAATGTATTTTTGTCATGTATTTGTCAAGCTCTGATTGTACATTTGACCATCGACAGAGATGGGCTCACGATGGCGGGACATGTTGATGGACTACGGTCATGTGCTGGGCGACAAGTCCAGCAAGTCCAGTAGCGCCTTCTTCTCGGTGGACGACGATCTGAAGGACAAGAGGAACGAGGACCTGGTCCTGAGGAGGACACTGGAAGTGGTCAGTTGCATCAAGGCTAGGTTAGGGGGTATTAAGGTGGACACTGGTCAGTTGCATCAAGGCTAGGTTAGGGGGTATTATGGTGGACACAGTTTTATCAAGGCTAGGTTAGGGGGTATTAAGGATGACACTAAGTGGTCAGTTTCATCAAGGGTAGGTTAGGGGGTATTAAGTTGGACACTAAGTGGTCAGTTTCATCAAGGCTAGGTTAGGGGTATTATGGTGGACACTGGTCAGTTGTATCATGGCTAGGTTAGGGGTATTAAGGTGGACACTAAGTGGTCAGTTTCATCAAGTCTAGGTTAGGGGGTATTATGGTGGACACTAAATGGTCAGTTGCATCAAGGCTAGGTTAAGGGGTATTAAGATGGAGGGGTGGATGGGATTTGCGGACAGGGTTGAGGGGGACTCAAGGGGGGGGGGGGGGGCATAAAAGTGGAAGGGCAGGGATGATCTATGACTCATGGTCTGCTGGGCATAGCGAACAAGAACGCTCAATATTAGTGTTTATTTTAGGAGAGTTGAGTAACCGTGAAGTTGTTGGTATCGAGTTGATTGTGTAGCGTAGACGAGAAAAGTTTTGAGTAGTTGAGTTTTGCGAGATGTCGAGTAGTCGAATGGATTTGATATTATTGCGACAAAGCCTCAGATTTCTCCTAGGTGAGTGTCGTCAAACTAAATAATAGAAAAATAAAGATTAGCCACTCGTACATTAGGAAGCCACCCAATCCAGATTCTGGGGGACTGAACTCGAGGGCTCAAGCCCCACAGCTATCGATGGCGAGATTTGCAATTGATGGCTTGATTAGTTGAGTTTGTTTGACCATCTCTCGATTCCGGCAGCCAGTCCTAAAAGGGGCTGACCAACCAAATGGCCAAGATCAGTGCAAAAATCTGGAAATGATGCTATCTTTTGATAGCCTATGGGCCAAGAAGCTTTAACTTCAAGTTAAAGTTAAGAAAAAATTGGTACTTATTGTACTACCGCTGGACCAGGCCTTTGATAATAATATTTCAATTTTTTTTCTCTTTCAATAACAAATTTTTTTTTAAAGAATTACATTAAATTAAAACTTCAAAACTTTTACTAGGGATTGATTCCCGCGTGCGCATTACATAGATTACCCACACTCAAAATACACCTAAGTTGGTAACGAAATCCTTTGAAGCAGCCCACTTTTGCATATCAGAAGGTACTTTTTTCATGGCAGTAATTCTCAGAGACACTGGTGTGTAGTAAGTTAAAAGCTAAAATACCTACTACTCTCAGAACTCTGTCTTCATCTTAACACACACTAAACAATATTATTATATTCTTACCTATTAATCCCCCTGACTAAAATAATTGTCTCCCTTGTTTATTGTTTACCCAATTGCTTCCCTTGTTCAATATTATATTTTTTTCTTTCTATTTGATTTTCAGCATTTTAGGCCATTGTTTCAGAGGGTAAGTCCTTAGACCTATCACATAAATTACTTAGTGACAAGAAAAATTGTTAAACATAAGTTCTTAAGGCCACCTATCTGGATCCAAACCAAGTTTGTATGACTAAGATAAATCAAAAAGAATTTTATGATACATCTCATTACGTATGTAGTTGGTTTTTTAGTGTAAAATATCTGCTGAAGTTTGTACAAGGTTAATAGCCAATAAGTCGGTGTACATGTTAAAGATTACATACGTCCAAGAGAAGATGGGATTAAAATTAAGTAAAGTTCGATGTCAGGGTTAGAGTTAAATATGTGACGTCATTTTACGAGGGGGTGGGATGGGGGAACTATTTTAATAGTGTGACAATAAAAAGTAAAGTTTCCTCTTTCCTTTTCGAATCTGACGGTCCACGTGACAAGTGCAGTAGAGTTCACCTGTTTCTGTGACATCTGCATATGGAAAGATGCCCAGCCTTTACTTTCCACGCCAGTCAGGTACCCATATTAGCTGGGTGGACTCAGGGACTTGAACCCGGATTCGAACTCGATTCGACCACGCCGTCCTCTTGTGACGATTGGGATGATTTTTATAAATGGTCAACCAAGTGTGACGTTATTTATGTTACTTAGTTTTATTATCCTTTCGTGGGTATGGCTAATCGAAATATACCCGAATTCCTTTACCCCCAGTTTGTGTACGGGGGTGAGAAAATCGCCTGTCATGACCTGAAGAGGATCCTCCGTGACCCCGAGTACAGGGATCGTCTGCCAATTGAGAAGGTGCACGAGCTGGCTGACCTAGCAGACTTCAACCTCGGGCGTGCTGTCAAGTACGAGGAGTTCGCCAATATTGTAAGTTTTTTAAAGGGAGATAACTACATTTTTGTTCTTCAAGGGAGGTCATTAGTTTGGGTTATCCAGGGGAGATCACTAGATTTGGTCTATCCAAGGCAGATCACTAGATTTGGGTTATCCAGGGGAGATCACTAGATTAGCCATTCCCAAGGGAGATCAGTAGGTTTGGGTTTCCCAAGGGGATAACTAGAGTTAGATTTTTTCAAGGGAGATCACTAGATTTGGTTATTGTTTGGATGTTTGATAGGCTGTCGGGTAGAGTCGCTGTTCCTGCAATTTACACAACATGATTTATAAAAAAAAATCTGAAGTAGTTTTAGCAAAAGGAAGTAAACAAAGGAATGTGTAATGGAAAACGTTTATGAGTTTGGAGAGACAGGTGTCTGAGGGGGGGGGGGGGGTTGCCAGAATGGAGCCAACAAATATATGCCACGCAAACAACAATGGTGACAGATGAAGTTATTGTGGGCTTACTAACGTTCACTCCCCCCCCCCCTCGTAACATACCCAGGGTCTACCAAGCCCGACAATATATATATATATATATATATTTATATATATATATATATATATATATATATATATATATATATATATATATATATATATATATATATAAATATATATATATAAATATATATATATACATATATATATATATATATATATATATATATATATATATATATATATATATATATATATATATATACAGAAAATATATGAAAGTTTCAAGTGCTCCTCCCATGAAGAAAATGTTAGAAAGAAACCGTAGATATGACATAACCTGACCTAATTTTACTAGCTCTAACCCAATCCATCAACTAATCCCCGCAACTCTGACAGCGAGTTGTTCTACGTCACGTTCCCTCATGTCTCTAGCTTTGTTACCTCCCCTTGTCTCCAGCAAGATGAACGAGAACTAAAATTAAACCGCGAGCGAGGCTCAGCTTTACATAACTAACAAACAAACAAAAAGTCATTTGTGTTAAGGTCCCAGGGCTGAAACAATGCAACCAAGTCCCCGTAAAGATGGGGACATTTTTTATTTTCACCCCAGCCATCTCCATCCGAGACCTGTCTTTATAGGAGGGTTGGATGGATCTTATATTCGCGTGGTAAATTTTTTTTTTCTTTTGGTGAAATATAAAATATCTAATGCTTAAAATACATTAATTGTTAGTTTGTCGTATAAGGTTTTGTAGTGACAAATAATTAGTATTGTAAATTAGTTGCCAAGGATTATCAAGAGATTATAAAACACAAAGGTGGCCAGGGGGCTTGGATCTATCATTGTTTTAATGTAATGTATTTGGCATAGATCTATGTTGTTGGGTTGTTGTTTTTTTTTAATTTCATTTCTTAAAGTAGCAAACATTGGAGCTTGTAAAACAATTGGATACAAGTGGTTTACACCGTTTTAACACAATTAAACGCTTTGCATTTTTTTAAAAAATGAAAATTACTTTAGTAAACTATAAATTTAAAAACAAATCCGTTTTTGTAGTAGACGGCTGAAAAGTTAAGTCTACTGTTACACCTGAGCGAGGTTGGTAAACAAGTCACTTTTTGTTCTGTATTATGTTGCACGATCAAATCAAAAGGATTGTTTTGTTTTTAAGCTACTCATACTTTTTTTTCTGATTGAAACAAATAGAGCTAGTCTCGTATAATGTATGTAATATTATAGTTGGTATTCTATGAACGTGGAATACAATGTTATATTTTGTTGACGTGTTATGTGTTCGATACCTAAGATTTAAAAAAAAAATTATGAAAAATTATGAACTCGCAATACATGAAATTTTAACACGAGGCTTTCGTTAACTTTTATGACGTTGATTTGTTATGTTCCACTTACTTTAACTTTTGTGTCGTTACTGTTGCAGGCTCTACTACTTATGTTAACTTGTGACGTTGCTGTTGCAGGCTCTACTACTTATGTTAACTTTTGTGTCGTTGCTGTTGCAGGCTCTACTACTTATGTTAACTTGTGACGTTGCTGTTGCAGGCTCTACTACTTATGTTAACTTTTGTGTCGTTGCTGTTGTAGGTTCTACTACTTATGTTAACTTATCTGACGTTGCTGTTGCAGGTTCTAGGAAAAAATGATGACGCCACCAGCTTTGGCTCCCAGAACCAGCTCCACGAGAACAACCCCGTCCTGGGGCGGGCCGCCACCGCCCTCAGTGTCGTGTGCCGCAACACCACTCAGCAGACGATGGTGGAGGAGCATCTGTCCAAGTACAAGTGTCTCCCCCCTCCCTTCTTTATGATCGCTGTCACCATTGCTCAGGTAGGTGATCTTAGCTCAGGTAGGTGATCTTAGTTCAGGTAGGTGATCTTAGCTCTGGTAGATCTTAGCTCAGGTAGGTAATTTTTAGTTCAGGTAGATCTAAGCTCAGGTAAGTGATCTTACCTCAGGTAGGTGATCTTAGCTCTGGATGATCATAGCTTAGCTAGATCAGCTCAGGTAGGTGGTCGTAGCTCTGGTAGATCTAAGCTCTAATATGTTATCATAGCTCAGGTAAGTCGTCTTAGCTCTGGTAAATGATCTAAGCTCAGGTAGATCTTAGCTCTGGTAGGTGATCTAAGCTCAGGTAGATCTAAACTCGGGTAGGTGATCTAAGCTCAGCTAGATCTTAGCTCAGGTAGTTGATTTTTTGCTCAGGTAGATCTAAGCTCAGGTAGGTGATCTTAGCTCAGGTAGATCTTAGCTCAGGTAGGTGATCTTAGCTCTGGTAGATCTTAGCTCAGGTAGGTGATTTTTAGTTCAGGTAGATCTAAGTTCGGGTAGGTGATCTAGGCTCATGTATCTGAAGTAAACTCATGTAGGTGAACATAGCAGTGGCGTAGCGAGGTCGGGTGTCACCCGGTGCGGCAATTAATGGTGTCACCCCCCAGAGGCGTAGCGACCCTTCCCGGGGACAAACTTTCAAGTTTTCGATTTGCACCCCCCTCAAGTTTTCGATTTGCAACCCCCCCCCCCCCCCCCCCTCAAACTTTCGATTTGCAACCCCCCTCAAGTTTTTCTCAATATATTTTGCTATTTTTTGCCTTGGTGTCACCCCCCTAAATGGTGTCATCCGGTGCGATCCGCACCCCCCGCCCCCCCCCCCTCGCTACGCCCCTGGAACTTAGCTAGCTCAGGTATGTGATTTAAGCTCTGGTAGATATTAGCTCAAGAAGGTGATCGTAGTTCTGGTAGATCTAGGGAGTCTAAGCTCTTGAAGGTGATCTAAACTCAGGTGAACATAGCTAGCACAGGTATGCAATCTTAGAAAGTAGATGATCTTAGCTCAGGTAGGTGATCTTAGCTTTGATAGGTGATCTTAGCTTAAGAATGCGATTATAGCTCAGGCAAATGATTTTAGCTCGGGCTAGAGAATTTAGCAAAAGTAGGTGATCTTAGCTCTGGTGGGTGATCTTAGCTCAGGTATATGGTCTATCAGGTAAATTTAGTTTAGGTCATCTTAGGTCGTATAAGCAATCTTAACTCAAATATGTGACCTTCCCTAGCGCTTGTAGCTATCTTACCTTTTAGTTCAGATAGTAGACCAGAGTTAATGCCCCTGCTCTAACCTCTACAAACATGTCACTAACCCACTACAGATACAACTGACAGCCTATGCTACCTTTCAGATTGTGGTCTACATCATCTACTCCACCAAGACGGGGTGGTACACAGACGCCCTCGACAGCATCTCCAGCAGCACCAACTCCCTCATCTACTACCCAGACAGACGTCACGAGGCCTGGAGGTTTATTTCCTATTGGCTGCTACACCAGGGGTAGGCAGTTACACAATTTTTGGGCCAGTGTAAAGTTACCAGAAAGCGCTGTCACCAATAGCTGTACTTCAGGGGGGGGGGGTGACACCATTAAGAGCCGCATCGGGGGACTTAATTATCTTTTCAATACTTTTAATAACAAAATCAGTAAAAAAAAAATTAATTAAAAAAATTGGCTAATTGCTAATTTAAAAAAAAAAATATTTCAACCCTTCCATTTCTTTTGTTAAAAATTTCACACATCTCAGTACTCTCCCCTTGTGTATTTTTTATTGACAAAACTATAGATTTACAAAATACTAGCATTGTTTTCACAAATCAAACAACAAAGTTAGATAACCCTTACCACAACTTTTAATCCATGTCTTTTTTTGTGCTAGTTTTATCGACCTCATCTTCAACGTGCTGATACAGATTGTGCTGGGGGTTCCTCTAGAGATCATGTTCTCCTGGTGGAGGATGGCAGTTCTGTGGATTCTTGGGGTCATTGCAGGTACAAGTTCTGAGGGGGTCAGGTTAGGGGTGGTCTCAAATTGTAGCCATTGCAGGTACAAGTTATGGTTAGGTTAGGGGTGGTCTCAAATTGTAGTCATTGCAGGTACAAGCTCTGGTTAGGTTAGGGGTGGTCTCAAATTGTAGTCATTGCAGGTACAAGCTCTGGTTAGGTTAGGGGTGGTCTCAAATTGTAGTCATTGCAGGTACAAGCTCTGGTTAGGTTAGGGGTGGTCTCAAATTGTAGTCATTGCAGGTACAAGCTCTGGTTAGGTTAGGGGTGGTCTCAAATTGTAGTCATTGCAGGTACAAGCTCTGGTTAGGTTAGGGGTGGTCTCAAATTGTAGTCATTGCAGGTACAAGCTCTGGTTAGGTTAGGGGTGGTCTCAAATTGTAGTCATTGCTGGTACAAGTTCTGAGGGGGTCAGGTTAGGGGTGGTCTCAAATTGTAGTCATTGCAGGTACAAGCTCTGGTTAGGTTAGGGGTGGTCTCAAATTGTAGTCATTGCAGGTACAAGCTCTGGTTAGGTTAGGGGTGGTCTCAAATTGTAGTCATTGCAGGTACAAGTTCTGGTTAGGTTAGGGGTGGTCTCAAATTGTAGTCATTGCAGGTACAAGTTCTGGTTAGGTTAGGGGTGGTCTCAAATTGTAGTCATTGCAGGTACAAGCTCTGGTTAGGTTAGGGGTGGTCTCAAATTGTAGTCATTGCAGGTACAAGCTCTGGTTAGGTTAGGGGTGGTCTCAAATTGTAGTCATTGCAGGTACAAGCTCTGGTTAGGTTAGGGGTGGTCTCAAATTGTAGTCATTGCAGGTACAAGCTCTGGTTAGGTTAGGGGTGGTCTCAAATTGTAGTCATTGCAGGTACAAGCTCTGGTTAGGTTAGGGGTGGTCTCAAATTGTAGTCATTGCAGGTACAAGCTCTGGTTAGGTTAGGGGTGGTCTCAAATTGTAGTCATTGCAGGTACAAGCTCTGGTTAGGTTAGGGGTGGTCTCAAATTGTAGTCATTGCAGGTACAAGCTCTGGTTAGGTTAGGGGTGGTCTCAAATTGTAGTCATTGCAGGTACAAGCTCTGGTTAGGTTAGGGGTGGCCTCAAATTGTAGTCATTGCAGGTACAAGCTCTGGTTAGGTTAGGGGTGGTCTCAAATTGTAGTCATTGCAGGTACAAGCTCTGGTTAGGTTAGGGGTGGTCTCAAATTGTATTCATTGCAAGTACAAGTTCTGTGGGGGTTAGGTTAGGGGTGGTCTCAAATTGTAGTCATTGTAGGTACAAGTTCTGTATGAGGGGGTCAGGTTAGAGGTGGTCTCAAATTGTAGTCATTGCAGGTACAAGTTCTGGTTAGGTTAGGGGTGGTCTCAAATTGTAGTCATTGCAGGTACAAGTTCTGGTTAGGTTAGGGGTGGTCTCAAATTGTAGTCATTGCAGGTACAAGTTCTGTGGGGGTTAGGTTAGGGGTGGTCTCAAATTGTATTCATTGCAAGTACAAGTTCTGTGGGGGTTAGGTTAGGGGTGGTCTCAAATTGTATTCATTGCAAGTACAAGTTCTGTGGGGGTTAGGTTAGAGGTGGTCTCAAATTGTAGTCATTGCAGGTACAAGTTCTGAGGGGGTTAGGTTAGAGGTGGTCTCAAATTGTAGTCATTGCAGGTACAAGTTCTGTGGAGGTTAGGTTAGGGGTGGTCTCAAATTGTATTCATTGCAAGTACAAGTTCTGTGGGGGTTAGGTTAGGGGTGGTCTCAAATTGTATTCATTGCAAGTACAAGTTCTGTGGGGGTTAGGTTAGGGGTGGTCTCAAATTGTATTCATTGCAAGTACAAGTTCTGTGGGGGTTAGGTTAGGGGTGGTCTCAAATTGTAGTCATTGCAGGTACAAGTTCTGTGGGGGTTAGGTTAGAGGTGGTCTCAAATTGTAGTCATTGCAGGTACAAATTCTGGTTAGGTTAGAGGTGGTCTCAAATTGTAGTCATTGCAGGTACAAGTTCTGAAGGGGTTTGGTTAGAGGTGGTCTCAAATTGTAGTCATTGCTGGTACAAGTTCTGTGGGGGTTAGGTTAGAGGTGGTCTCAAATTGTAGTCATTGCAGGTACAAATTCTGGTTAGGTTAGAGGTGGTCTCAAATTGTAGTCATTGCAGGTACAAGTTCTGAAGGGGTTAGGTTAGAGGTGGTCTCAAATTGTAGTCATTGCAATTACAAGTTCTGGTTAGGTTAGAGGTGGTCTCAAATTGTAGTCATTGCAGGTACAAGTTCTGAAGGGGTTAGGTTAGAGGTGGTCTCAAATTGTAGTCATTGCTGGTACAAGTTCTGTGGGGGTTAGGTTAGAGGTGGTCTCAAATTGTAGTCATTGCAGGTACAAATTCTGGTTAGGTTAGAGGTGGTCTCAAATTGTAGTCATTGTAGGTACAAATTCTGTGGGGGTCAGGTTAGAGGTGGTCTCAAATTGTAGCCATTGCAGGTACAAATTCTGTGGGGGTCAGGTTAGAGGTGGTCTCAAATTGTCATCATTGCAGGTACAGTTTGTGTATGAGGGGGTTAGGTTAGGGGTGGTCTCAAATTGTAGTCATTGCTGGTATAAGTTCTGGTTAGGTTAGAGGTGGTCTCAAATTGTTGTCATTGTAGGTACAAGTTCTGATTGGGTCAGGTTAGTGGTGGTCTCAAATTGTAGCCATTGCAGGTACAAGTTGTGTATGGGGGGTTAGGTTAGGGGTGGTCTCAAATTGTAGCCATTGCAGGTACAAGTTCTGGTTAGGTTAGGGGTGGTCTCAAATTGTAGTTATTGTAGGTACAAGTTCTGTGGAGGTTAGGTTAGAGGTGGTCTCAAATTGTAGTCATTGCAGGTACAAGTTGTGTATGAGGGGGTTAGGTTAGGGGTGGTCTCAAATTGTAGCCATTGCAGGTACAAGTTCTGGTTAGGTTAGGGGTGGTCTCAAATTGTAGTTATTGTAGGTACAAGTTCTGTGGAGGTTAGGTTAGAGGTGGTCTCAAATTGTAGCCATTGCAGGTACAAGTTCTGGTTAGGTTAGGGGTGGTCTCAAATTGTAGTTATTGTAGGTACAAGTTCTGTGGAGGTTAGGTTAGAGGTGGTCTCAAATTGTAGTCATTGCAGGTACAAGTTCTGTGGAGGTTAGGTTAGAGGTGGTCTCAAATTGTAGCCATTGCAGGTACAAGTTGTGTATGAGGGGGTTAGGTTAGGGGTGGTCTCAAATTGTAGTCATTGCAGGTACAAGTTCTGGTTAGGTTAGGGGTGGTCTCAAATTGTAGCCATTGCAGGTACAAGTTCTAAAGTAGCTAGGTTAGGGGTGGTCTCAAATTGTAGCCATTGCAGGTACAAGTTCTGGTTAGGTTAGGGGTGGTCTCAAATTGTAGTTATTGTAGGTACAAGTTCTGTGGAGGTTAGGTTAGAGGTGGTCTCAAATTGTAGTTATTGCAGGTACAAGTTCTGTGGGGGTTAGGTTAGGGGTGGTCTCAAATTGTAGGGTTGGCTTTTCTTTTATTTGAAGTTCTTGCAGGTACTAGTTTAGTGTGAGAGCGGTTAATTAAATTAAAGTTAAATATGGTCCCTAAATGTGTTAAAGTTATAGTTAAATGTGGTCTCTAAGTGTGTTAATTAAATAAGTTGAATATGGTCCCAAAATGTGTCTCAATTTGTAGAGTTGGGTCCACATTTGTTTGCTATCCTTGGGGTACTAGTTTTGTGTCAAGTATCAGGTTAAAGGTGGTCTCAATATGTAGAGTTGGCTACATTGTAATTATAGTTTGTTAAATAAATGTCAGTTTTTGTCTAGTAAGGTTTAAGAGTGAATAAAACTAAACATGACAGAGCTAGATTGCTAACCTGAAAGTCTCGTGTTCGAATCCAATATCAAGAACGTCACTGAGTCAACTCAGCTCTGATGGGTACCTAATTTATGTTAGGGAAACAAAGGCGGATAGGCATAGTGCTAACCACATTATCCCCTTGTAGGTCGAGATTATTGAAAATTATGAACTCTACTTCATCTGCACTATGTGCCTTGGGCAAAAATGGGAAAGGAAGATGATGATGATAACTGAACTATTAAATCCAAGTTTAGCCATTAGAAAGGAGCTAGAAAGGAGCGCAGTGGAAATCCCTCTAGTTTCAATGTTGAGAGGCAGAGTTTCTCCCAGGCATCTCTTAAGGGGGGGGGGGGGTGGAAGAAACACTGTTGAGAGGGTTGCTGTACAATTTGTAATCCCATCCATAGCACTGCAATTTCTGATTAGGCTAACCCTAGCTCTAATCCTAAACCTAACTCTGTCAGTGGTGTAAGCGGGGGGGGGGGGGGGGTTAGGGGGGGGGGGTCATAACCCCCCCCCCCATAGACCCCTCAGTATATATATATATAAAGTATGAGGGGGGGGGGGGTGCAAATTAAAAGGTTGAGGGGGGGGGGGTGCAAAAAATCGAAAGTTTGAGGGGGGGTGCAAATCGAAAGTTTGAGGGGGGGGGTTCAAATCGAAAGTTTGTCCCCGGGTAAAAATTGGAACCCCCCTTAAGACGATCCTGGCTACGCCACTGAACTCTGTGTTGTGGTATGTCTAACCCAACTGTTCCCTTATTATATTCTAGGTTCTCTGGGCCATTCACTGACTGACCATTACGAAGGTTTAGCTGGGGCTGCAGGTGGCGCTTATGCCATCATGGCCGCCCACTGTTTTGTTCTTATTCAGGTCAGTAAACTTTCATAAGTATACCTTTGTATTTTACTGGATTGTAGAGCACTTGGATGCTAACTTGAAAGCCTTGCGTTCAAATTCTACTTTAGATGAATTAGTTGAGCCAATAATTTTGACAATCTTCTAGATCTAAAACAGTCATAATAAATATTTACTTGTGCCATGGAATTGCCAATAAGTGCAGACGTTCCCTTATCTACTATATTGAATATTGATCACATGACATGAAATGATGTTCGACCAAGTTAGGTAGAAGATGTCACATCTTTATCTCCTCACCTGACGGGTATCCGAAGTGTGTCAAGGTTTATGCTAGACTCTAGTCCAGGGGTCTCCAAACTTTTCAGTCCGAGGGCCGCATTAACTACGAAATTTCAGTTCGGGGGCCAGTTTTTTTGCAAGCATGTCTTTCATTTTTCTGGGAAAAGTTCCTCAGCAATCACCGACAAACGATTTTTCCTTGGACCGTAGTTTGGAGACCCCTGCTCTAGTCCATATGGCATTTTTCTTCAGATTTTCTGAGGTTTAAACATTTTTACTCCACACAGGTTGCCAGATTTTTAGGGCTAGGGTAACATGTAATGCTATTTATTTTTGCAGACTTTGTTTTAGGTTATGACATGCAACTATATAATGCATCAGAAGCTTTAATACAGGCAAAATAAAAACATTAAATATGCATTTCCTTATTCATATTTGTTTGTAAGCTACAGTATAATAACGCTGGTAAGTAGGTCACCAACCAGCTCTACAGCTAAAACCTGCATGAGCCATAGTACTGGTTGGTGACCTACTTACCAGCCCTATAGACTACCTGTTGGAACTGTTGTGAGATTCTTGAACTAGTCAATAGTTTAAATATTATAAATAAACCATGACTACATCATAGTTAGTATACAATTTGAAATATTATTTTTTGTTTTAATTACAGGAGAGGTCTCGACTGAATGTTGACTTAACAGATAGTAAAGCTAAAAGAATCCTCTGCAGCTTACCTCTTCGTGTTTGTTTTATGTTGTTGATACGTAAGTAAAGATTGTGAACAAAATTATTGTTTGACATTTGGGTCTCTAGACAATCTCTCTCTCTTTACAGCACCGTTGAATGTACAGAATTATATTCTGGACATTCAAAGGGCGGTGGGGGAGGGGGGAAAAGAAAAAATACAGTGCCTCCCGCTCTCCCCCCGGGGAGATGCCAGAAAGAAACTCTGATCCATGTTGTATCAGACAACTATATTATTAAGATGCATTTTTTTTTTGGAAGTACAAACAGTAACTTTTGAAACCTAATGTTCCAAAACATTGAGAGCATTTATTTTTTTGTTTTATTACTCTAGCCGCCAGTAATTCATAGTTACTTCATTTAATAATTAAAAAAAAAAAAAAATGACCTCGTTATTCTACATTACTTTTATAATCAATTTAAAAAATGTTTTAATTTGAATTATTCCTAAAATTGTGTAAACAATTTTTCAGTGATCCCACAAATAGCTCTAGCAGTCTACCGACGCTGGTTTCTGGAACCCATACACTTAAAGATTGGCATCGCTGCTCACATCAGTGGCATGCTTGCTGGTGAGTAACAATATTTTACTTCTCAAAATAAAGACAGGCAACTACTGATAGGAATGACAGAATTCGACTTGGAAATAATTAATTTCATTTAATTGAACCATTAATTACAAAAAAAATTTAATACAATTAATATTAATTAACTAACTACAATATGCTACAGAATGCTCAGTGGTGTCACTGGGTCTAGTGTAACCTGGTGCTCTAACCCTCTCCCCCTAAAATTTTGTCACTTTAACTGGATAAAACATTCTTTTGACAGTAAATTTTATCATTTTCATTAAGGTGTCACCCCCTAAATGGTGTCACCCGATGCTGACCAAACACTGACACTACTGACTAAAGTCTGACAATCTTATTGACCATAGCATAAGAATTTAGTAACTTGTTTTAGTTGAATCTTTTATTTGTCCCCCCTGATAATATTGTGTGAAGTATTAAAAAATCTTCATATATACCACTGCTTACATATTGTACATATTGACTTTCATTACATTTTTTGTTGTTGCTTTGTTTAGTTTGATCAAGTTTTCACTCTTTTAATTTGTGTTTATTCTTAAAAAAAAAATTTTTTTAGTTTTCTATGTTTATTGTGATAAAATTAACATTTAAAACAAATGTTTTCTTTAAGTGAACCTTTTTTTTAATTATTATTATTATATATTTTAAATGATTATATATTTTATATTATTATACAATAACATTCTTGTATTTACTGCGTTTAAAAATGTTAAAAGTACTTTTTATGTATATTTATAACATTTTATTTTACCAGGAATCACCTTGTCGGAGCCTTTCTTAAAAGACATCAAACGTTACCCATTCCAAAATGGAGTCGGCTTCTTTTCATTATTTACATTCCTAATGTTCATTGGTGGAACTGTCCTCTTCAACATCTTGTACAAGGGCTACCCAGATGAGATCTATGACTAAGCACTTGTGGTCAGTTAATTTGCTACATTAAACACATACACATTTTGGTATTTTTTGTAAGTGAACACAAGAGTAAAATATTATCTGAGTATTATCAAATCCACTGCAGTTATGAACCAAAGTGACGAGAGTGTTGACTCTTGAAAGTATTTGTTCAACTGAAATGTTATTTCAACACATACACATTTTGGTATTTTTTTGTAAGTAAAAACATAAGAGTAAAATATTATCTGAGTATTATCAAATCCACTACAGAAATGAACCAAAGTGACGAGAATGTTGACTCTTGAAAGTATTTGTTCAACTGAAATGTTATTTCAACACATACACATTTTGGTATTTTTTTGTAAGTAAAAACATAAGAGTAAAATATTATCTGAGTATTATCAAATCCACTACAGAAATGAACCAAAGTGACGAGAATGTTGACTCTTGAAAGTATTTGTTCAACTGAAATGTTATTTTAACACATACACATTTTGGTATTTTTTGTAAGTAAACATAAGAGTAAAATATTATCTGAGTATTATCAAATCTACTGCACTAATGAACTATGATGAGGAGAGTGTTGACTGACATTCGACTCTTGAAAGTCTTTGTCCAACTGAAATGTTATTTCAACACATTTACAAAGTAATTTCCACATGTTTGATATTCCCACTTTTTGGGACTATGGGTTGTGATTTTGTTATTTTTACAATTACCATTTTTTTTTTTTTTACTGATAGCTGTTGACTCTACTTTTTATTAAATTTAAATCGAATTATATTAACTTTAGTTATTGATTAATTTCAGAAAAAATTTGTCATTACAAATATTTTGATGTATAGTTTGATTGTAAGAAAATATAAATTAAAAAAAAACCAACAGCCTCTTGACTTAAGCTTTATAAAAGACAAAATTTGAACAATTAAATGTTGAAAATTATTGGTATCGACAGTTATTACAAGAACAATAGTGTGTTATCTTTAGTGTAATTTTAATCTTTTCAACAATATATTTCCTATGTTAAAATTGGTATTTTTATTGTAAAAATCTTCATTTGTAATTTCTATGATTATGATAACAGCTTTTTAAAACATTACCAGTGAAACATTATTAAATTAGTTCCTATTGTCATGGAGATTTTACAACTAATTTTATAATGTTAACTTAGTTTAAAGTATCAATACAATTCATGGCTAATTTTTTTAATCACAAAATCTTTATATTTTAATCAATTTTACCTGGCATTTTGTAAATTTCTAGCCTTAAATTAAATTTTGAAAAAAATAAAAAGGTTAGCATTTGAAAGACTTTAAAAAATACTGTTTATTATATAAGCCTACTACTTTAGGATGTCTCTAAGAATAGAAAACAAAAACCAAAACTTGTTACATTTTTCCAAATCTAATTTTTATGTTAATGTAATATTATATGCATTTGTTATATAATTAAAACATTTTTTTGTAATGTAAATATTTGTTAATACATGCAGTGCTGGTTTATCAGGGTTAAATTAAATTATAGGTGATATTTATACAGATGTTTTGATTTATGTGTGTAACTTGACTGTTACTAGGGTAATGAGATTGGATGAATGTAGTAACATACAGTGAGATTTCCCATATGGGGCCCAGTAAGTGGGGGGGGGGGGGGAAATAAAAAAAAACCCATTAACAATGACAACATGGGTTGCGAACCCACAATTTATGAGGTAGGTTTTATCCTTTCTCATCAGGCACATATCACTTTAACAAAATTAAGTACTTTATTACTGGAAACATCACATTGTCTTGTCTATGCTTGTTTTTTAAAAACATCTAACTGCATTATTTAAAAATAGAATCAAGCTTGATTCAGCTTTAACCAAGTTCAGTAACCGTTAGAGGTATTTGTTGAGTTTCCACAAAAATAAAAATTTATTTTGTTTAAGAAAATCATCAGAAAAAAACAACAACTTAAAACGTTCAATGTTATAATGAACTCTATCATAAAACAACAAGAAGCATAACAAATTTTCCATTCTTTTAATTTCATAATAAAATAAATTTTTATACACAGTGAAAAATTGCTCAAAATCTATAGCACATATGACAAAGGTGATTTAAAAAGATGAAAACTGTCACAATGACCAACCATAGAAAAGATGATACATAAACATCTATTTTAATTAAAATTTTTTTTTTTATTCATTTAAGTGGTAAGTATAACAAAATCTTAAAATTCACATTCCAGATATATGGGGGTTTAAATGTGTGCAGCATTCATATTGTGCTTGAAAAACATGCAACTTGAATAGATATATGTGAGTGGGAATATTTTAACAATATTTTGGAAACAAATATGGTGAAAATTTAAATTAACTTTATGTTTCCAAATTAATAAAAAATCAGACTAATTACTTTTAATTAATTCTAATAATGTTCTTATGTTTTTAAAATCAATATAAAGACAAGTATTACAAAATCTGATTTGGCACAGACAACATAACTATAAATTAATCCACACAGTTAGTGTTGCTACTGTAAGCTCTAGTTAATTAATGCTGATAAAAATGTGTGTACAAATAGAGATTCACGTTGGTAATGCTGTTATGAAATACTTTTTAAAAAATTTTCAAACAAAACATGTTTGTTTCGTTATATGGAGTGATAATTAAAAACCAAGATTAGACTAAAAGATGTGCTTAAAGCATGAAAATTTCACAACTATAAAATATTATATAAAAATGTTACATTGAGTAGAAATTTTTAAGAATTATAAAGCACATCAAGTGGGGGCGAATTAAGGTAACTCTTAATTAATTAATTAATTAAATAATTAAATACAATAGAATCCTTTTATTTTTCAAATCTTCCATTAAAACTTAAAATTTTTAAAAATATTAGAGACAGTTAAAAGATTGGCGATACTACTAATTTTGGCAAAAAAATGTAACAAAAATTTAAAATGCTAAATAAATAGTTACTAAGATAAAACAGGTCAGAATGTTAGGCACTTTCAAGTGAAGCATTTTAAACTATTTCTAGGCCAGTCCATATGCACATCCATTGCAGCTGACAATATCAACACATATATGTATGTAGCTAGCTGATCACATGATCAGTAAAAGTAAAGTTCCTCTTTAGATCTAGTGATACGTTGGGCAGACAAGGTGAGTTCATGTTTCTTGACCTCGTCATAGGAAGGGATGGTGTGGTCAGCACTACGCTCAGTGATGGTGTAGTCAGCACTACACCCAGTCGCCTTTACTTTTAGATACACATCAGAGCTGGGTTAACTACAGTGACCAAGATCTGAACTTGAGACCTTTTCCCATTTGACCACACTGCCCCATTTATAACAATTGGTTTTTACAAATTGCATTATTCACAGTTAAAATTAAAATAATGCGGACAAGCTTTTTACAGAAATTGGCTGTAGATTTTTTAAAGATACAAATTAGTCCAAAAGGGCAATGTTATACTATATTTAAAAACTCTATACCAATAGCAGTGGTCTACCATTAAACAGGTGTTAATCTGCAATACAACACAAATCAGCACAAAAAAACATTATTTTATAGAAAAAATAGTATCACAGCTTTTTTGAAGAATAAAATAAAAACGTTTACAATAACAAATGAAAGAACCTAGTCTCAACAAATGGATATCATTCATACAATTAATTTGTTATACATTAATAGTTGGAGTTACACAACCATATTGAAAACCAAATGATCACTAACACATTTTAAAAATGAATCTGTAAAAATACTAAAATTTGCAACAATTACATTATCAGAAACATTTATTGACAATTATGCTTTATAAATAGTTCTAAATTTAGACTAGAATTATAGAAGAGAAAAAAAAGACAATTCTGTTGTAGTAGGTAAATTGAAAATAACCTGCATTATCAAAATATTCTTTTATTTTTTTAATTTGACAGCAAAGCCTATTTTGAAATTTCAGCATTTCACAACTTAGGTTGATCAAATAAAGGGAAATGGCTATTCTTAAGATTATACATTCTTATTGAAACAGCAGATTAAAATTAGCAAATAGAGTAAACAAAGCTCTCTATATATTTACCAATAAGTAATACTGATTATTTTCTTGCAATATAAAAGGAACTGATGTATTTTTGTTTACAATTTATCACTGATTATTTTAATATCACAGTAGCTTAATATTGGGTAGGAATCAAATTGTACAAGGGTTAGGGTTTGGATTTACTACATAAAAAAATGTCTAGTTATGTTTCTGTTTTACAAAGAAATATTTATTTGCTAATTATCAAGTATTAGCATAAGTTGGAAACATTACTAACTACCTGTATAATTTTTTTCATAATTCTATACACTCCGAAAAAAAACTAAAACATTTACAATAAGTTACATTAATTTTAAGAATTTTATTATTAAACAGAAACTTCATTGAGGGGAAATCGTATCAGACAAGTAAATTCTAAGCACATAAATTAAAATATCATTGAGTTTAGTGAGTAAAGTTAGATCTGATAAAAATTTTACAATTAAATATTACCTAAGTAACAAAAATGAATGTTTAACAGAAACACAAACACATAGTTTGATGTGATCCTATTGTAGTTTTTAACTTACATAAGTCAGAATTATCTGGAAAATACAACATAATACTGAAAAGAAAATTACATTGTTCACTTTTGAAAAAGAAGAAAGCTGACCAAAAGTTCAAAAGACAATTATTTGATTTCAAACTGCGCTAGTAGCAAGTACACCAAAAAGCACAAAATCAATAAAAACATAAAATTTAGAATTCTCCAAATGTTTTCAGACTTTAAGAGCTGTTAGAATATTTTTAAATTCAATTTTTGGGTATTTCATAAACTCCAGTTCCAAAATCCCCTTGCCTGGCTATTCTATCTGTTTCCATGTGCAGAAATGCTGAGGATTTTTGTGTTTCTGTTCTAAATGATTCGATTTTTGGCTTTGCCTAAAAAAAAAAAAAAAAAAAAAAAAAGACAAATATTGACACTCACAAATTCTATGCATGGGTTTGCTCTCAATCTCATGTCTCAAAAATACCAAGCAACACACAATTTCTGTTTTAAAGACAGTTAAATATTAAATAACACTCTGATCCCAAACTCCCTTTTTTTTTATAAAACTTTTATTTGCAATTTAAAACAAGTACATCAACACTAAATTCTTTACATAATTCAAATATCAAATGAAAACCAAAATTCCTTGCCACATTAAGAAAAATTGCTAATATTTCATTTAGATTGCTAATAGACAAATGTAGACATTTACAATCTTAAGCCTTATTAATAGTGCAATATTAAGTACTTAAAAAATGTTCTAGAGTAAATTGCATTACTGCAATTAACTGATTAAATAGATTAGTAAATCTGGTTAAATGTAATTTTTACTTGAAAAAATTTCAAGCTTAAAATATTTTTAAAACCTTTCTCAATTTACCATCTACCTTCATTCGTAGTAGTTTCCCTTGCTTATAAAGCAATAGAAGCAGTTGTTTCCCTTGCTTATAAAGTCATATAATTGTGTTTTACTTACTGACTTAGTAAACCTTGGTAGCTGCCATAAAGGGGGAGGATCCACAGGGTTCTGGTAATGTCTCAGCAGAGATGCCCTCGTCTCATACACGATACCATGACTTCTAGGTCCCTGAGTTACACAATTAAAATACATATAAACACATATATTTAGATACAGATATTTATGTTATTTGGCACAAACTAAGAAATTAACTAAACATTAAATTTGAAATTATAATTAGTATAGGCCTACTATATTCAAGTACTTCCAATAATGAGAATTTTTTTTTTTTATAATTTACAAATACAATAAAATTATAGTTGCCAAAATATACTGAGATAAAATGATAAACATAACATCAAACTTTTAAACAATCCAATAAAAATCCCAACTTTGTAATATAATAATTGTTTCTAGCAGATGTTGCAAAAAATATTAATTTAAAAAAAAAAATTTATATTTTATAAACACCAAAATTAAGAAAAAAAAATTTTAATTTTTTTTTGGGTATTACTTTTCATTATTTTGTGCTTTAGATTACACATTATTTACTGTTTAAAATCTTATTTCCATACCATTTTTATCATATATATTTATAAGAATTTCTTTAAAAATGTTTTAACAATCATGTTTTAAAAATAAAACATTTCAAGGTATTTAATTTTCTATGGAGCATTAAATGCCAATTTTGTTTTTCTAAAGTAAAAAGCCATAATATAAACCTACTTCGAAAACAATGCTTAGAAGCATCTTGGTCCTTTTACAGAAAAAAAATGTGCATACAAAAAATGGGAATAACTTGAATAATTTAGACTGTCTACCTTAAAGTTAGGGCTGCAAATATAAACCAAAATTTAGAAAGAATTGTAGGATGACAAGACAATTTGTAAAAAACTACGCTTGAACTGAACAGTAATCATAAATACACAACAGCATTGTGTCCCCATTTCATATCTATTTTTATGTTGAAAGTAAACACTGTATCTATAGAAATATGTTTTAATGTCGTTTTTACAATACAATGTATAAAAGTATATTACTTTGTGTTATACCCAAATGAAGTTGCAGAGCAAAAATGAAAACAGCTTTTGCCTGCAAATGTGCCAATAAAAAAATACTGAATTAATTGTGATTAGAAATAAATTAGCTTTCGTAAATTGTGCACTATGCTTAGAAGTAAAATAAAAATGGGTAGAAGGCTACATCCTTGCAAGATGTGGAATAAACCCAGGAAAAACATAAATTGGAGAAGACTATTAAATTAACTAAAATCAAACAGCCAAATAAATCTGTACTTTTAAAAATTCTGGTTTGAAATGACTCAGTACATGTGTACATGTAATACAAGACACATTATCATTAAGTAATAAATAAATTTAAACCTAAATTCTAGTTTAAAAATATTAAGTTTGAACAAACTTAAGATAGTAGAAGGTTTCTATTGAATAAGAAAAGAAAAAACTAATATAGATCTACTAGATTTCTAAATAGAAAAATTTCAGTAGGAATGTTTTTAATTTATAAAATATAGAATGTGCCAAAATGATATAGTTTAAAAAAATATCTAAGGAGATATCAAATTAATTAATTTTAATACCATTAAGGCCTAATTAATTTGTATACGTAAAAGACTACAGAAAATAAGCAAGATCAAAATATCTAAAACTAATTTGATATCAAAATAGTATTATTTAAGTTTAAATGCATAAACAAATATTTAAAAGTACCCCTGAAAAAATAAAGCTGTGGTAATAGAGAATAGAAATTGTTTTCTAAATAGCTAAAAATCTAATTTCAACTTACTACTGGAGCTGACATTGCTCTTCTCTGTGAAAGCGTAAAAAGTGTTTGTGTCCAACAAAAATGGTTAAAACACAACATTCATTTGTAATACAATTACTTGAAATGCTACATTAGTATTAATTACATAGATAAACCATGAAGCAAATAGATGTAGATGAAAAGCAATTGTAAAACATAATGTTAGTAATAAACACAAAACGATTATTTGCTCATATTTTTGTCTTAATATTAAATCAAGACAAACATAATAAAATGTGTAAATACTAATACACATATTTAAAATTGAAGATTATTATCTCAAAATTATTGAACAAAAGAGTTTGAATATTTAAAGTATATTTAAACAGCAAAAAAAAAATCTGATTTTTCTAATAAATTACATTCAAATTTTATTTTGTTATTGTAGTGTTACTACATTTTGAGACAAACTGTAAATACACTTTAATATTAAAGAAGCAGTCTGATGAAAATACATATAGGCCTATAACACTTAAACATTGACTGAAATTTATTTTTAATTAGCTGATCTCAGTTAATATTTCACCTGTATGGTATTGTTAAAACACAAGGACTACACAAACCCCTCAGTTAAATCTCCACGAATTTTAAAAATACTTTTAGTAACTTACAGACCTCAGCATTTTTAAATTACATAAAACACTGAACATTTGATTAAAGCAGAAACTAATTATCATGCTGTTAATTAAAAAAATGATATATATCTATGATTACCTTTGATTCTGCTGATCTGTTGGCTGAAAGATGACTGTGTCTCTCTTTAAGCCATCTGTCTTGATATTTGTGTTCGATCAGGTCAAAAATAGGCGTGGATGGTCTATAAATGAAATTTTTTTGAAATCAATAAACTTAAGTGTTTACCTCATTGAAATTATATCATGTTCTAACACATTCTTGCACTTGTAAGTAATAATTTGTTATCTATATATATAATTCTCTTCTTCGAGCCGTTAGAAAACAAGCTGCAACCTCGCCTTACAGTCCCCTCTCTTCCTCTATATCAATATCACAACCACCCCAACCCCGCCCCCACATTGTCTGGTGAGTTGTGTTCACTCTGTTTACATTTTACAATCACAGAGACGGGTTTGGTGACGGCTATTAGGGGCAGATAATTTAGTTTGAAACGATTTTAAACTTAGAGGAGGTAACTAAGAGGAGGCTGCTTTCACGTGGGGGGGGGTAGTGTTTTTAAGCAAATATTTTCAATGGCAGCATTGGTACTGTCGAATTCACAAATTATAAATTACTGAAAAGTAGAAAAAAAAACAACTAAATAGCGGCGTATGATACGCAGCGGGTCGGCTCGTTTAATTTAAACCATCTGTTTTAGCATGCAGTCATTCCTAAATTTTTTTCTATGGAATAAACTTTAAAGTTTATATTCCGCTTCTTTTGTTTTATATTTCAGAATCAGTAGTTATGTGTAGGGCCACCTATTCTTTTCACCATTTGAACTGAGAACATATTTAAAAATATATGCCTAAACAATGTTAAACTTTAAATAAGTTTGTAGAAATTATATTACATTACAACTTATGCTAATACACACTGTTCTTGCTTTACTTGCCTACTTTGAATGCCGAAAACCATCGTGGGAGGAAGCCTCCGGCTTCTCATTTTACCAGCCATCTCTTTACAACTTATGCTAATACACACTATTCTTGCTTTACTTGCCTACTTTGAATGCCAAATACCATCGTGGGAGGAAGCCTCCAGCTTCTCATTTTACCAGCCATCTCTTTACAACTTATGCTAATACACACTATTCTTGCTTTACTTGCCTACTTTGAATGCCAAATACCATCGTGGGAGGAAGCCTCCGGCTTCTCATTTTACCAGCCATCTCTTTTTTATCAAAAGGTAACCTCCGAATATCATGTGTGGCCCTGTAGTCTGCGTACTCCTCAGCTTTCACCAGCCCGTCTGATGCTGCGGCTCTGTTCAGCCCCATGAAATCTCGCTCTGATGCTGCTTTTGTTCTGGTGGCGCCACCTTTGGGCAAATATGTACCTGACCATCCTCGAAGAGCTGCATCAGAATTCATACTATTATCAGAGATGTTCCAAGTTGCTATGTCAGCACAGGAAGGATAGAAGATGACACGTGTCAGGTAACAGCTTTACAAACTCTCTCTCCACATCAACTGTTTGGGGTGGTTTAAAAAATCTAGGCTGGACAATACACTGTCCAAGTGAGTTTAGATACACAGCTGGGAATTTTATTAGGGCCAGGATGAGTGTTATAGTCAGAGCTTAAGTTAGACCAAGGTTTGGGTAAAAAAAAAGGAAAGTTTCCCTTTCAAACCTGACGGTCTATGGGGCAAGTGAAGTAGAGTTCACTTGTTTCTGTGACCTCGGCATATGAAGAGATAGTGTGGTCAGCACTATGCCCAGCTGCCTTTACTTTTCCTAACGTGAGTTAGGTACCCATCATAGTTGGGTGAACCCAGGGACGTTCTACTGACTTGAACCCGGATTCGAACTCGAGACTCACGGGTTAGCAGTCCAGCTCTCTACCGCTAGACCACTCCGTCCCTTCAAGGTTTGGGTAGTGATCCAAAAATAAAAATAAAGGCCTAAGTAAATTCTGGTTATGTTTTATTAAGTAATTTTGTGTCATTCTGTAATGTAGGGTAATACAGGATTTTACTATTCAGAACAACTCAAAACTCAAAGCATACAATTATCTATTATGAGTTGGGATTTGTCTTTAGATGGCAACATAAACATTGGCTTCACTGTAAAAATAGAAGCATGATTACATTCCCATTAGAGTTTAGTAGAGGAAAAACAGAAGGAATTTAACAGTTTAAAAATAAACTCAAACATGTCATTTTTAAACTTAGGGGATTATGCCTACTTATTTACAAAACATGCCCAAAAATTTCTCCCAAATATAAAAATAGTTTTGAATTTTAGCTTTAAGATAGAATTAAATATTCTACAACATATGCAAGCCTACATACCATCAGCTGCTGTGTTTTGTCTTCTATCATTAGGTAACCCATAGGTGAATCCTTTGACGGGCAGGTGGTATCCTCTTGATTTCACTTGACCCACTTTGTTCTAAAGTATTTTAAAAATTATATAAGTAGTCATTATTTATGAGCCTCTCAAACAAGCATATTAAACGGGCATAAAAATGCATTTGTATTAGATGTCAATGTTATGTGGTAGATTTGCTAATAGAAATCTTTATCCATATAAGTCTATAAGTAAATTATGGATGAAAAACAATTGTGATTTAATGAGAGGGAATTAAGTAAGAACAAGAAGAAAATTCAAGTATAAATTTGTCAAATTATAGAACTTGGGGATATTTCTTAGCTCACAAAAGTAGCATCACAACTGACTTTGTGAAAGGTGCTCTGTAATACAAAACAAACGCAGATACGCATGGCATCAAGATTGTTCTGCGCATGGGATGCAGAAACATCTTACCTAGAATAAAGCTGTCATTCAAATATGCAGCTGTAGTTATTCATAGTTATTTTAAAATGTGTGTGACCTACAAGAACTTTTATGGCCAAAGCTCAAAATGACAACAAATTTAAGATGGCCCATGCATTTTATTTTAGAGACTACAATGCAGGTAATCACAGCAAATACAATGAAAAGTGAAAAGGACATGGTTGGCAAATGTAAGTCTTGGCCTGAAAAACTGTGATGGTAAGTCACCAAAATACCACGACATACTGAAATAGTTTGACAAAAGAGAAAAGATGTGAACATTAGTCAGACTGTTAGATTTGGAGAGGGGTCGTCCATAAATGACATCACACTCATAGGGGGAAGGTCCGTAATTTTGTGACCCTGTGTGATGTGTGGGAGGGGTGGGGGTCCAGATGGTGCGACATCACACTTTTGCATTATAAAAAAGCAATGTTAGAAAACGAAATTTTAGCCATTATTTTGCGTTTTATAAAACTGTTTTAATAAATTGTGATAGGAATTTATTAAAATACTCTATTTTGACAGAGTTCAGACAAGATTTTAGAAAAATATCGATGTTTTTAAAAAATTCAACTGCAATTTTTAGGGGGGTTGTAGGCTGAGGTATGACATCATTTTGTGGGGGGGGGGGGGGGGGGGGTCTGGCTTTTTGTGATGATGTGTGACAGAGGGGAGGTAAAAATCATCAAAAAAAGCATGATGTCATTTATGGATGACCCCAGAGAGGTTAATTGATTCAGCAATAGATTCTAGATCTAGATCTGTTATAAATTATAATAATTAAGTTATAAGAATTGATTTGATTAATTTAGAATTAGAATAATTTTAACGAAGTGACTACTCGGAAGATTTTTCTCCCCAACGTCTCCACTTAGTCCGCAAAAGATAGCTCTGCACATGCGCAGTGACCTATGGCTAGGGTTAGGGCTAGAATTAGGGTTAGGATTAGGGCTAGGGTTAGGATTAGGGTTAGAATTAGTGTTAGGGTTAGGGATAGGATAAGGGATAGGATTAGGGTTGGTGTTAGCCAGTGTTAGGGTTCTGCGGTTGTAAACACACGCATGCGCAGTACCATCGAAAACATCGCCGCAATGGCAAGTTGTAGTTTCTCTCCATTGCACATGCGTATCTTTTTCCCGCTAACATTGGCCTAATTTTAATTAGATCCAGACAGAACCTAGACTAGAGTCTAGAGGTGAACTAGATCCTAGATCTAGATTAGGTCTTATTTAAAATACAGTAAGACAGAAAAATAAATAATACGATAGATCTAGATACATAGATTCTAGTAAAATCCTTAAAAGACAAGCTATTCTGATCTGATTTTGAGTTAGCTGAGGCGATGATGTTTGTTGATTCAATGATTGAAATTGTTTGAGTGACTGGTTCACTGAGAGGAGAGTGAGTGAGCAGTGTGATGGATGAGTGTGAGAACTGTGAGTGGTCAATGGACCTACCCTGAGATGAAGTTCGTTTTGAAGCATTGAAGGCCTTTGGTCACCGAGTAGACCAGTGGCTGTGTAGGCAAAGGGGCTATCGACTTGTGCCGCCATTGTAGAAAGACTTTTAAAATGTTAAATTTAATAAACCACACGCGATTACTATTGTGAACTACACCATATAAAAGCAGGACTCTTCGCGGGTTTCCTTAGTTACGTTAGCTGAACATGCGCATTAGATTTGTCCGGTTTCAGGGGAAGCTATTCTTGATAAATTTACCTAAATTTACCAGCCCGAGTTTACTTTCTTAAACGTTACAAACCATACAAAAAATAAAAAGTCATATAGATTTAGGCCCTAGTTAATTAAAAAACCCGTGTACATCTGTGTGCTCCTAAAATATCTAATCTTATAAAGAAAAACAAAGGAGCGAATTTTCCATCCTGCTACAGATGCTTCTACTTAAACTATATGCACATTGGCGTTGTTAATATTATTCAATCAAAATTTCTTAGAGGCATCCAGGTGGGGGGGGGGGGGGGGGGAGGCAGTGCATCGCGGAGCACGCCCCCCCCCCCCGCCACTCCAGGGCGAAACATCATAAAATTTAAATACAGAATATATACATCCCTCCCCCCTCCGCCCCCCCCCCCCATGTTAAGTGCCCCTTTCCCAAAAGTTTCAAGCCCCTCCTCCCCCCTGAAAAAAATGTCTGAAAGAAACACTGTATTCAAGTCAGATGATAAGGCAGAAGGGGAGCAGCACCCCCCCCCCCCTCTTCTTCACCCCCCCCCCCATGTTAAGTGCCCCTTTCCCAAAAGTTTCTAGCCCCTCCTCTCCCCTGAAAAAAATGTCTGAAAGACAGTGCCGTAGGCAGGGGGGGGGGGGGGTTATGGTGGTCATAACCCCCCATAGACCCTCGGTATATATATAAAAAGTATGAGGGGGGTGCAAATCGAAAGTTTGAGGGGGGGGGGGGGGGGGGGCATGCAAATCGAAAGTTTGAGGGGGGTGCAAATCAAAAGTTTGAGGGGGGGGGGTGCAAATCGAAAGTTTGTCCCCGGGTAAAAATTGGAACCCCCCCCCCCCCCTTGAGACGATCCTGGCTACGCCACTGCTGAAAGAAACACTGTATTCAAGTCAGATGATAAGGCAGAAGGGGAGCAGCACCCCCCTCTTCTTCACCCTCCCCCCCCCCCCCCTCTAAGAACATGTTAAGGTAGCAAAGGTGTAAATCGACTCAACCTGAAACATCGGTCTATATTTTGTTAGTTCACTGAAATGTTGGTGCTGTTTTATACACTCACCGCTCCCCCAACCCCAGCCTGAAAACCCAGCCACTCCCGCTGATTTACGTAATCAAGATATTCATTTTAATGACCCCCCCCCCCCCCTCCTAATTTAAACGAAGCAACCTAATAAGAAACATTGTTTTTTAGTGTTGGTGTAAAGGAGTCGGCTTTCTGTGGAGATGGGCGAGGTCACAAATATAAATCTAGTAGAGCCTGTAGTGTAGAGTGCTATTTTAAGCGTTTTCTCTGAAACTATAAGCGAACTTCAATGACCCAGTAAAAAAAAAAAATGTTTTTCAGACAATAGATTACTTTCGTTTTCTACTGAAGGTTCAGTTTTAACTTAATTTTATTTCACAGTTATGAAATATTAACAATAATAATAACAACAACAATAATAATAATTAATAAAGGCAATAAATGTAATAAAAGTAATAATAAAAGTAATAATAAAAGTAATCATAAAAGTAATAATAAAAGTAATAATAAAATAAATGAAATAATGATAATAATCTATATACTACTAAAAGTCAACTTTGTTTACATGTTTGAATATTTATTTGTTTGCCTGATCGACTATTGTGATATGTTCGACTCTATCTGGAGAGCTGTAAATCTATATACTACTAAAAGTCAACTTTGTTTACATGTTTGAATATTTATTTGTTTGCCTGATCGACTATTGTGATATGTTCGACTCTATCTGGAGAGCTGTAAAATAGTATGTAGGTAGAGAATAATTGTTTAATGCAGACAGACTGTTAATCACACATTTATTTAAAGACGTTAATTAATTTATTGATTTATTCATAGTTAAATTAACCGTATTTTTTAAAAAATGTTAATACTTTGAATAAACTTTGTGGGGATAGTGACGTCCCTTGATGTGTTTACATTTTTGGTACAATAAAAATGGCGGACCCCATCATAGACTTTGTGGCCCATTCAAAAGTTTCACGCGTTACAAAGCTAATTTTCTGCCGGCTATAACTTAAACAATACGTCCGTTTGCTGTATTTATTACGTTCCAACACTTATATCAATTTTAAAACTGTCTTTTTTTCATTTAGTTTTACAATAAATTTCTCTAGATCTAAAGATCAGCTGTCGAAGAAAAGTTATTTATAGATCTAGATCTAGATCTAGAATCTAGGTCAAATCAAATCTAATTTTCTGTCGGTCATAACTTTAACAATACGTCCGTTTGCTGTATTTATTACGTTCCAACACTTATATCAATTTTCAACTGTCTTTTTTCATTTAGTTTTACAATAAATTTCTCTAGATCTACAATCTGTCCAAGAAAGTTATTTATTTATAGATCTAGATCTAGAATCTAGAATCTAAATCTAGGTCAAATCAAAAATTTATTAGTTATAGATCTTAATACAAACCAAAAAAGAAACGAGACTTAAGCAAACCAGTCGTAGATCTAGAATATAGATAATTCTATCTAGATTTAGATAATAATGAGTTTCTATATACTAAAATATTTTAGACCTTTATTATTTTGTATAAATCTTTGTTTCGACTATGCAAATTTTGAAGTGCTGGCTCCAGGGCGTATTTGCGCAGCTTAAGATTCATACGCTGCTTCTATACCGGAATTTTGCTAAATTATAAACGTAAATTCTAAATATAGCTCAGTCGTAGATCTAAAATATAGATAATTCTATCTAGATTTAGATAATAGTGATTTTCTATATACTAAACTATTTTAGACCTTTATTATTTTATATAAATCTTTGTTTGGAATATGGTAATTTTGAAATGCTCGCTCCGGGCCTATCAGCGTAGCTAATGATTAGATCTAGATTCTAGATCTAGCAAGAAAAACTAAACTTAAGACCTAAGCAAGCGAGTCGTAGAATATAGATCTAGATATAATTATCTAGATCTAGCTAATTTCAGAACTTCTTTATTTTATATAAATCTTTGTTTGGCTAATTTAAGATTAAATTTAATTTGAAAGTTACTACTACTAGCCTAATATCTAGATCTATGCGCGGAGACTCAAAAGTATAGTATAAAAATTCATTTGTGACGTCACGAGTAAATAGCTAAGTTGGTAGCGTAGCCCGCTCTCATGTGGGTGGCACAGGTTCTAGACCAATATGTCAATGATATTTTTTTTTCAATTTTTTTTTTTTAGATGTGAATGATAAAGTTGCCTATCTGAACTTGCCAGGATACAGGGCAGGTGAAGTAGAGTTCATCTGTTTCTTTGTCCTAAGCATATGAAAGGATAGTGTGGTCAGAGACATGCTCGGCTGGAATCGTTTTTTAAACGATAGAAACATGTTGTCTGAGACTTGGCGGGACACTGGGCAGGTGAAGTAGAGTTGAGTAGGTCACATGTGACGTCAGTATATGAAGGGATAGTCCGAAATCGGTGTTTTCGGTGTTTTTAAAAGATAAGAAACATATTTTTGAATGTGGGGTCTGTTTTTTGTGACGATAAGTGACACTGCAGTAGCGTAGCGAGGAGGGGGGGGGGGGGGGGGGGGGGGCGGGAGGGGAGGCGGGGGGGGGGGGGGGGGGGGAAGGGGAGGCGGGGGGAGGTGGAGGGGGGGGGCGGGGGGACATATGTTGGGGCGCCAAAATGGTTTGGAAAAATAAATTGAAAGGTTGAGGGGGGTTCAAATCGAAAGTTTGAGTGGGGGGGGGGTGCACATCAAAAGTTTGAGGGGGGGGGGGTTGAAAATCGAAATCTTGGGGGGGGGGGGGGTTAAAATCGAAACGTTTGTCCCCAGGCGCCGGGAAGGCTCGCTATGCCTCTGAGTGACAGACGTGATGTTTTTTGATGGATGACCCCCGAAACCCACAGTTATCCAACGGATGACGGGTATTCTAGTAATAACTATAATAATAATAATAATGCAGTGGCGTAGCGAGGTCGGGTGTCACCCCGTGCGGCACTTAATGGTGTCACCCCCCAGAGGCGTAGAGACCCTTCCCGGGGACAAACTTTCAAGTTTTCGATTTGCACCCCCGTCAAACTTTCGATTTGCACCCCCCCCCCCACCTAAATGGTGTCACCCGGTGGGGTCCGCACCCCCGCCCCCCCCCCCCTCGCTACGCCCCTGTAATAATGATAATAATAATCATAATAATAAAAATAATAACAATAATAATAATAATAATAATAACAATAATAATAATAATAATGATAAAACCTTAATAAAACTCAAAACAAGACCTGAAGTATCGTGCACTGCATGTTATTGTTGTTTTTTTTTTTTTTGCAAGAGTTCTGCAAATTGGAATGGGAAGGGTTTAAAAGATTATGTAATATTATGTAATATTGTGGACGGTTTTCATGGACATGAATAGGGTGTACTATGGGGTTGGAAAAGGTGCCCGCCTTTCGTGTTATGTTATACAATATGTGCACGATCCTTAAGATTATCGTCAAATTAAATTGGGTGAATATAAAAAGAAGAAAAAAAAATAATGATGTACATTATGTTTTTATTATCTGTTAAATCTTTATACAGTGATTACAACATATCATTGATGTTTAATGTAAATTCTAAACCACATACGATGTTTTTTTTTCTGGCTTTCATAAATTATCTAACATTACTTTTTTCTCTTCATAGCCGAAATTTAAACGAAACCTGCGTATGTGCAGAATTAATTCTCGAGACAAAGAATTTTAAAATCATTTAAGGCACTATCCTTTCTATCTTGTATTATGTTGATTCATTAAAAACTTGTTTTAAATAAATAATATTTTTTAAAAAAAGCATTTCTTGTATGGGGAGTAACACAAGATAATCTACATTGTCCTTACGGATTTATCTTCCTTTCTTTTCATACAAACTGAAAGATTTCTCGAATTTTAGCAAAGATTGTGAGTATTATTATATATATAAGTAAAATAGCGTCTAAAAATAATAATGTGTGTATCCATTATCAACAA